GAAGCTTTGGGAGATGTTCATTGCAGCCTTCTTTGGAGAGCAAAAAAGTGAAAATTACCTAACCATTCTACAGGAGAGAAATGGTGTTTTAAAAATCTGTGACTTTTTTTATACAACAGACTATTACACCTTAGTTTAAAAATGAACTCCATCTATGTACTATATTAACAAGGATAAAATCACTGACAATTGGAAAGGACACATACTTGTACTGTATGATGTCATTTAGAATTTTTATTTTCTTATTTTTTCGTTTAGAATTTTAAGTGCAGAATGATGTTATGTACAGATATGTACCTAATGTCCTCATACATTGAGGGACTTATGGGTTGGGTTCGCATCTATGAATGTTCATAATGCAAGGTTCATTTGCATTTGTGAAAGCTCACAACTTGAATGTTTGTAAGTTGGGGACTTACTGTATACAGAAGTATAACAAAATGCACAAGAATGACATGCTCTAATGTCAGCATAGTAACACCTCTGAACAGAGAGCATGAAGGACAGCACAAAGTATCTTCAGATTTTAGGAGAGCATGGTGGTAAGGCAGGAGGATTACAAAGTCAGGCCCAGCCAGGGCAACTCAGCAACTAAGCAAGACCCTGTCCTAATAAAAATAAATAAAAAGTAAAATTTTAAAAGCTCAGATGTAGCTCAGTACAGGGGCCCTAGGTTCAATCCCAGAAGCACAAAAAAATATTTATAGAGTTTATTTCATAAGAGAGAGGGAGCAAGGAATAGATATAAATCAAATGAAAGAATTAAAATTAAACCTAAATAGGACCTGGTTAAAAGATGTGTTCCTCAACAGAACAATGCCTTATCTAAATAATGATTGTATAAAGTGAAAACCAACAGGTTAAGGCAGCTTAGAAACTCGGAGAAACAACCATGAATTAAGTATGGGCAGAAGATTTGAGGGCTGGTGGGCTGAGGATGTGGATAGTGACAGGGTGCTTGCATAGCATGCACAAGGTCCTTGGATCAATCTCTAGCACCACAAAAATAGGAGATTATTTGAGCAATGGAGGAAAATAATCAGCATAATGCTGAGACAAGAAAGAGGGTTGAGGGCAGCTTGGGGCAAGACGGGGCTCCTCTGTCTCAAGAAAAAGAACTACAAAAGTACCAAGGAGAGTAGCTTTGAGTTCTGTGACTTTAGTTATGGTAAATTGGGATCTGAAGACAGACATAAGGAGCATGGTAGCAGCTACTGTAAGTGCACCCTGCCCCTCACTTGCCACTGTGTATCAATATTTAATTTATATTCCGTAATTGTCATGCATATTCTATCTTACACTTTTCCAGATTTCAAAGCTTTCACTTAAATTATCTCAACTGTTGCACAGCAATCCCAAGAAGTAGAGTGATAATCAGTCTTACTTCACAGGGGGGTGGGGGGGACAGCTCCAAAGAGATTCAATGACTTCTTCGTCCAAGTTGTAAGAGTGAGCTTATTTCTTCCTGCTGTCTGGACCTGAAACACTGGACTCACCTGGGACTCAGCCCTACCCCTGTATCCAGTAAAGCATCCATTTCTGTAGGCTGTTTCTACAAAGCATGCGTCCATCTCTTCCCTTCCATTTCCTTTCCCACCATCCAGTTTGGGGACCTGATGACAGCTGGGGAGCCGGACTGTCAGCTGCCTGTCTTTTCCTTCCAATGCATCCTGCAGTCTCCTTGTAGACTAAACTTCCCGAAACACCACTTCCATGATGTCATTTCCCGGCTCAAAACATCTTCCTGACTCCCTCTTCCCTCAACCAAGATTTCAAAGTTCTTACTCTGAGCTCACCTTTCCCAGTGAATACTCAAAGCAGGTGCCTGGGAAACAGAAATGTCCAAAGGATGCAAATTAAAACTACAATCATTTCAGCTATCAAATCGCCGAAGTTTCATGGTTTTTAAAGATGATGTTGTTTCATATTGGTAAACAGTCTCTTATCCACTGCTAGTAGAATTATTTACAGGTATAATTTTTTGGAAGGCAATTTGGTTACATAGATCAAGTGTGCTTGCCTTAGAACTCTTTATGGGAGTATATCCTAAGGATATAATCTGAAATACAGAAAACTTTCTGCCTAAAGATGTTAATTATACTACTACTTACAGTTATAAATTATTAGATATTACTAATGCCAATCAACAGGGGAATGATTACATGATAATTGGTACGTATGATAGATGGACCCTTACAGTATGTGTTAAGGGGACCCTTACAGTATGTGTATAATGTTTAGGAAAAATCTTATGGTTACTCGCTAGAAATTTTGTTTTCTCTCCAGAAACATTACTTCACCCTTTTTTCCTCTCTCTTCAAAACTCCAAAATTCCTCTGCCTTCCTCCCTTTCTCAGATGAGTCGCTCTGGTTTGCTGAGAAAGTGTTTTCCACCCTCCCTGTCCCTCAGACTCCTGTCCTCAAGTCCCATGGGTGGGTAGGGCCCTCCCGGAAGTCTCTCGACAGCGTGGAATGGAGCTGACTGTTCTCCCCTGTTCTATCCTTGGGGTCTGGAACCCTACTTTCCTGGTTTTCTGGCCGCCCCCTGGAGTCCTCCTGCTCTGTGACTGCTTCCTCCTCTGACTCCAGATTTTCGGGGTGCAGCCTCAGACTTCATCCTCTCCCTCTGTTCTCTGTCTGTGACACCCATCTCCATGCCGGTGACTCTCCTGGTTTCTCTACAGTTGGCTCTCATCCTAAGCTCCCCACCTCCCGATGAAACTTAAACTCCCGGTGCGCAGGAACCATCTCGAGTTTAGGGTGCCCTGAGTGGGTCAGAACTTGATCTTTTTCTCTGAAACCTGCTCTCACCAATCCCCCCATCTCAGGGAAGATGCCTTCAGTGTCTCACTTGTTCAAACCATTACCCTGGAAGTCAACCTTTTAGGACTTTTTCTGACACAGCACACACTGTCCATAAGCAAGCTGACTGGTGCTGCCTTGAAAAAAAAATCTCCAAAGCCACCAACCTTTACAACTTGCAACACAGTCACTCCAGCCAAAACACCATGTCTTTCATTGCACAACTTCAGCAGCCAGCCCCTTGCTTTCCGTGTTTCCGACCTGTTCCCCACAGCGCTCTCCAAACCTCCAGTAAGTCCTCCCCACGGCCGGGACCCTGAATCGCTCCTCCTTTCCCCACTGAAGTCCTGGACATCACCAAGGTCTCCGCGCTGGCCCCTGCTCCACCACTGAGCTGCTCTTCCAACCCTCGTCCTCGTCTTTCTGCTGGCATTTTCCTGTTTCCTAAGCACATGTCTGCCCTTAGAGACCATACTGTTCCCTGTGTCTAAAATGCTATTTTCTAAGACTTCAGATGGCTGATTTCTTCCCAAGATCTTCAACTTGATTTATTTTCTTCATAGAGCTTATTGCTACTGGAAATTGTTATTTATTTATAATTCTCTAAAACTAGAGTTTAAGCTCTCTGTAGGCAAAAATTTTATTTCTTGCTTATTATAGTAACCTTTATTTTTTTTTTCTTCTTTGTATCGGTACCGGGGATCAAACTCATGACCACCTGCTTGCAAGCAGGTGCTTATGCCGCTGGGCTAAATCCCCAGCCCCTTTCCTGCTTAGTATGGCATCACCAGCATCTAGAATACTGTAGTACCCACACGGAGCTCAAAAATATTCATTATAGGAAGAATAAACTATGTGAAAGGTCACACAAATAAGATCAAAGGGACAACATCTGGGAGGAGATAAGACTGGTTTTGGTCTTTTTTAAAGACATATTTTATGCTTCCAAATATTTCTCACAATTTCTATATTGTTATATCTTTTATAGTCAGAGAAATATAAACTATTTAAACTAAGAAAACATAGACTCTAGCCTGGGCAGGCCCATTTTGTTACTATTCCAGAACAAACCATCCCTGGACATTGACTTCACCATGAGAAGCCATTTTTCAAGCTTTCCTTCCTCACCGCACCTCTGATAATCCTTTCAAGTCTCATTCAAACGCCACCTCCTCCAGGCAGCCTTCCCTGAGTTCACCCATTCCTGTTGACTGCCCTCCCTTCCCCAGACTTTGAACTTAACTGGGTTTGTTATTAAAACATCTACTCATTCTCAATCATTAAATATGTTCTGTATAGTTTGCATATGTGTCTGCGAATCTGAGAACAGGGGAAGTGTAAATTAGTTGTCTCTCTTGAACAGATAGATACTATGTCTTATCCTGCTGCACGAGGTGTCTCACAGAGAAAACAGTCGGTAAACACTTGGTTACAGTGCCAGGTGGAAAAGAGACTGAGTCCTTGGGCCTCTGAGGGTTCGGAGAACTCAGTGTTCTCTGCCTTATATCATACTCGCTGGCACTGAAGTGGATATGTTTATGACTTGCCACGTACTTACCATTCACCTTCACGCTTATTATACACAGCCTGCTTTCTTTTTTAGCTTAAGATGGAAGAGCCTGGAGTTTAGAAAGGATATTTAACTTCCCATAAGTGACACAGCCGGTAGCAGAAAGGCCTGGATTCAAACACAGCTCTTTACCACTGTACCATACCATGCATCAGGCTCTGTGACAAATGTCATTTTCTTTGACCCAGGTGCCATGAATGCACCCCTGACTTGGTAAAATTACTGGACCTTGCAGGGGATCAGTTTCCTTCTTTGTAAAAGGGAGACAGTCCCCAACCAGTGACCACAAATGTCAGGTGGTCGGTGCACAGCGGGTATGGACTGAATATAGTCGTCACTATTAGACAGGCTAGCTGATAACTCAGCTAGCAAATCTGGGTTTGGCAGCTCCCAGAGGGGCTCCCTACTGAGTGAGATATGAGCATCTCCAAAGCTGGAAATCACAGCTCTGCTGATCGAGGAAGGTGCCAGTGAAAAGCCTGTAGAAAGAGAACTCACTGTCCGCCCAGCTTAGCCAGAGCTTGGGCTTCCTTGCCTGCACACAGGATAGGAAGACCCTTGGGTGACTGAAGCCGCTGTTTCTGTTTGTGATCAGCGCTCACTAACGTAAACATCTCTCGCCTCTTAGGAATTATTTTAGGACCAGGAAACAGCACACTGTTTATTGAGAGAGTCTCAGAAGAAGATGAAGGTGTGTATCAGTGCAGAGCCACCAACCAGAAGGGGACCGTGGAGAGTTCAGCGTACCTCACCGTGCAAGGTAAACAGCTGTCCATGTGGGAGGGGACCAGAAGCGGGTCAGACACCCACTTCCCTGTTTGTCTAACTCCCCAGCTCCGTGTGGGCCTCCGGCTGCCTGCCCCGCTGCTCTCCAGGAAGGGCTGTCCGGGACAGGCTGGGACACTCACTCAGGCAGACACCCGGCTAGCACAGGAGCTGCAGGGAAAAGGGTCCTAGAAGAAAGGGACCCGCCTGCTGTCAGTGTGATGACAGTGACCCACAAAGCATGGCCCTGCAGTTCAAGAGAAAAAGGTCCATGGGGAGAAAAAAGGCAAGGCTCAGGGGCAGGGAGCCCGGGCAAAAAGTGAAGAACCCACACTCTTGCATCTGTTCTTTTCTTTGTCTTTCTGATTCCCAGAAGTTAGATATATGCTGCTTTTTGCAGTATTTTCCTAAGCTAGTTTTTACTGTGAGTGGGTGTAAAATATTATCAGAGAGAAGTAACCCACAATAAGCCACATTTCAGAAAAACATTCCAAGCATTTCCTTCCTCCAGGCCTCACACACCTTGCTGAGCAGCAAAATACAAAGAGGCCCAATTCATCCCTTTTTTTGTCTTTTTCTTTTTAATCGGTACCGGGAATCAAACTTACAACCACACACTTGCAAGGCAGGTGCTTATGCCACTGAGCTAAATCCCCAGCCCCAATTCATCCTTGATTGTACCCACGTGGCTTCCATTTGGAAACTAATTGGGGTTCAGTTTCAATTCCCCAGTGCTACCATCACTAAAACAAAATACACGATGTCACAAAGTAACGCACTGGCGCCTCTCACATGTAACCATTGAGATTTTGATATGGAGAAAAAAAGATGCAACATCGTCCGCAGCCTGTTTGCAAAGCTCACTGATACAGCGTGACCCCCCGGTGGTCCAATGGCTAAACTCGGACTTTCTAGACTGGAGCGGCAACGTTAAAAAAAAAAAAATCTGCTTGTTCATAACTTTGCTCCATGGTCCACCAAAAATCCAATTTGAAAACACTCTACACAGGCTGAGCGTGAATCGCCCAGTACTCAGTGCAAACACAAAGAGGTGACCAGTGGGTCCAATCCCTGCTCCCGCCCAGACACACTGTGCTCCCAGGGTCCACATGGTGCTTTTTAGCTTTTTGCTTAATTTGCACACATTTGCATAAAATATCGTAACTGTAGTGCCAAAGGAAGTTAGTGTCACCAGCAGTAAAGCTAAGTGGAAAACTGAGAGAGCCAGGTTAGAGCTAAAGGAAGAACTCATTGTGAAATTTGTTAAAGTTCTGGAAAAAATGAATGCATAAGTGTAATTTTGGGGCCTCAGAACCAATTATTTGGTTTCCCATTACATCTTTGTTTTGTTTTTTGACACTGGGGATTGAACTCACAACCTCACGTTTGCCAGGCAGGAGGTTATGCAACTGAGCTAAACCCCCAGCTCACAGTTTTCCATTGTTTCTTATGGGAAACTATATCCAGTTCTCAAACTTTTCGGTGTTCAAACATAAATTTGGAACAAACTGAGTCTGACAGCTAGGGCATCACATCCAAATGTGCAAGCACTGGGCTGGAGAACTCAGTCAGCGGCAAAGCCCTTGCCTCGCATGTGCAAAGCCTTGGGTTCAATCCTCAGCACCACCAAAGCAAATCAAAAAGCAAACAAAAACAATAACCCCAGAATAAGCACATACTTCTGAGGGAGGAACCGGGAAGTAGGTAATTTACCTAGTTCTTTTGCTTTGGAAATTTACACTGCTTAACGATTATCACTCCAAGAATTCAAAACTTCTTTAAAACAGAATTACTATCTCCCTTGTTTACAAGGAAGTGATTTGCATTCTCATAGAACTGAAATTACCACAAATTTGTATTTCGGGAAAAAGTGAGAGGTTTCCCAAATACCCTTAGAATGATCGTGTTTCCCAAATGAGCTTTGTTATAAAGCACTGTTTCAACTCTTCTGTTCACCCAACAAAAAAAGTTTATTACATGTGCATCTCTCCTGAACACCTCCTTCCTCACAGGGTCATTCCTCTGTCCTTTAACAATGGGAAAGACCCATAGGTTCTGAATCCCCAGATTCGACCAACTCTAGATCAAATACATGCAGAACAAAAAAAAAAAACTGCCTCTGTACAGAACATAATGCAGATTTTTTTCCTTGTCATTATTCCTTAAACTATAATGACCATTTTTATAACATTTACATTGTATTAGGTATTATAAGTAACCTAGAGATCATTCAATATATACAGAAGGGCACACATAGGTTCTATGCAAATGCCATCCCATTCTCAGGCTTGGAGACTGAGGAGCCAATTCTGAGAGCAAAGAATAACTGTACTTGGTCCTATGACCCAAGAACCTAAAAAAGTGCACAGTGTTTTGCTCATTGTACAAACAAAAAGATAGAGACTCTGAGAGGTTCAATAACCTGCCTAAAATCACACAATAAATACACAGTGAGGCTGAGACTTGAATCTATGTGAGTGTAAACCTCCAAAGAATCCCACCCTTCTTCCATGCTTCTCATTCCTGAGAAGTAAATCGTTAGCAAGGTCTCAGGATACAACTGAGCTTTTACACTGCCAGTTGTCCTGACATTTTGATTTTCTCACTCCAAACTTCATTCCTTACACTGGTCCCTTCTCTAACTGCCATTATGCCCCTCTGAGATGTCAGCCTCTTGAAAGAATACTGCATCACTGATAGTTTCTAGAAGTTTCCAGCAGCTTCTATTATTTACTCCTGCGGAAAGGGGAGTGCTTTTCCTGAACTGCCCCTGCTGGCCGGCACTGCCAACACTGTGACCTTTCTCATCTCTTGCCACCACCTTTCAGTCTCCTAACCCACCCACCTACTTCTCCGCCCTCCAGCAATCCACTTTGCAAACTAAGTGGTGTTTTCCAACTGCCAGTTTCCCATATCACAGGGGCTCCCAGTGGCTTCCCGCCCTCCTCCAGGCACACACTGTCCTCCAAGGGTTCCTGCTCAGCCTCACCTGCCCGTTTCCAGACCTCCAGTGCCTGGACACACTCCCTGTGGGCTCTGCTTTCCTGCATCTGTTTTCTAACACTTGGACAGCCTTCCTTCCCAACGGTTCTCTCTCTGCACAACCCTGTGGTGTCATTTCTCTATTGCTGACCTATTTCTGCATCACTTTTTTCTCTCTATGCTCCCACAGTGCTTGATACATGCCTTGGAAGCTGTACTTACCATTGTTCCTTGTTTTTATTTTCGTAGTATTGCTACAAAAAGAAGGTTAACCCAGGACCTTCACACTGAGTTGTATCCCCAGCCCCCTTATTGTGTGAAACAGGGGAGTTTCATTAAATTGTCCAGGCTGGGCTCAAACTTCTGATCATGCTGCTTCAACTTTCGTATGTGTTACCACACTGGGGTAGTTTCATTTTTCTACCCCAAAATCCCAAAGAAAAAAAACCACATTTTGTCTAAATAGAAAATGTTAAAATTGGTTTAGAAAAAAGCCACATTTAGGTGAGTGTTAACTCAGTAATCTGCCCAGGATAATGCAGGATATAGAAATGCGAGCCATGAAGCCTATTGTCAAGGTGCGCAGGAACCACCCAAACGGTCATTTTGAGCTCCTCACGAGGGCAAAGTAGGAACACTAATTGGTATAAAACAGATGACACAATACCACTAATAGGGGCTGAAAGCACTCAAAGAGGAAAAGTGAGACTGTGCTCTGGGGGCTGGGGATTTAGCTCAGCGGCATAAGCGCCTGCCTTGCAAGCAGGCAGTTGTGAGTTCGATCCCCGGTACCGATAAAAGAAAAAGAGAGAGAGAATGTGCTCTGACCTGTACAAGGAGCTCACAGGAGGATGTCAGGTGCACACAGCAGTCAAGGAGATGGCAGTGAGCTGGGGCCACTGTGAGCCCTCTACCCGGACACCCCTCTGGGCAACAACAAAACTAGTTAAGTCACAACCAGTTAGGCATGGGGTGCCCTGAGGAACAGGTCCTTATGACTCATGGGCTCTTCCCATCCTGTGGCACTGAACTGGCCTACTCCCTTGTTACCTTGTTTTGTAATTGTTTCCCCTGCTCTCAGAGCAATGACCATACCCAACCTTTTTGTTCAAAAAGTATAGTAAGCTGAAAAACTGCATCATTTATCCACAATCATCAAAGCACCTGAGATCTCGTGCTCATTGTAGAAGAATAGAGCTCTTTATTTGAACAGGATAATAATATGAAAAATGAGGATATTTAGTCTAGAAAAGAAACAATATAGAAAAATATAATTTTTTTAATACTTTCTTTCTTTTTTTTTTTTTTATTGGTACCAGGGATCAAACTCATAACCACACACTTGCAAGGCAGACGCTTATGCTGCTGAGTTAAATCCCCAGCCCCTGGAAAATATAATTGTTTGCTTCAAATACTTAAGGAGCTTTTGGATAGACAGGCATTTAACTCACTCTTTGTCATATCTGAAACAATAACTAGAACCCAAGAAGGGAGATGGTGGTGAAGTTTCCAGGATGTAAGTTTCACCCCTAGGCGAGGATATAATTTGGAATAAGAGGAATTTTTGCAAGTTGATATTGTGTAAATTGTAGGAAAACTTACATGTATCTATGTTAGGTATATTATCTTGAACTAAAGCTCACTAAAGAATTCTGATTCTGAGATGCTTTTCAGAATAGCTGAATGTAGTGATAATTTTATAATGAAACTGAATTCTTGTTCTAAAGTCTAAATTATTATTTGCACCAGTCTGGTAGCTGTGAAATGTTCTCTAGGATTAGTGTTCTCTTGATTTCCTGTTAGGTGCACATGGACTCTTCACATTGACCTATCTTGTCTAGCTGAGTTTAGGAAATGAAACCAGGCATATAAGTTGTGTCTGTGGCTATGTTTAACAGATTTAAAGAGGTTCAGGAATTAGCCAGGAAGGAAACTGTCTGCTCTTTTTATTTCCTTTGAAAAAGGATTCTTATACTCAGAGATAAAACAATGTGTTATTTTTGTATGTGAAAA